CGTTAAATGGAATCTTAAAGATGCAATATGTGAGATACACCGAATACTGAAAGAAGAATGGGAGAGAGAGTATGCCGAGTTTGCCAGCGTTAAACGCAGAGGATACTGCTCACTTTTTCCCACTACCTCAACAAAACCATGGTTCCTAAATATAAATAAGGTAAACGCCATTGGCGCTAAAAGGATCAATAGACTGCTTAGCGGCAGTGCATTTGATAGGCACACACTTGCCAAAATGCACGTAGTCGCAATTAACATTTGTGATACCTGCGATACTATCGATGACGCATCGCATATAATTTTTAATTGTACCAAGTACAACGCAACAAGACTAAACTACCCATCGCTAAGGAAATATAATAATATCTATAAATTCTTTGAAAAAGAACAAATCAGCTCGTACCAAACTTTAATCGAGTTCATCGACAAAATTGGAGTAAAACTGTAACAAGTTACATATCTCGACGTGGCGATTTCCACCTTACAAAGGCGGGCGGCCAAATAATCCCCCTCTACCCAAGGGTAGAGCGGTAACATAAAACCTCAAAAAAAAAAAAAAAAAAAACAAAAACGCGGTTTTTGGCTTCGCACGCAGCGTGACCAGGGCTGGGAAAAAATCGATAGCACCAGCGTTACTATCGATCGTTGAGAAATTAGACGACCATCGAGTATAGTAGCTCCTCTCTCTTTTATCTGTCTCTACAAGTTGCAAAACAACCGATAGTTTGACATCTTAGGGTAATAAAAGAGCCTGTTACGAACCTGTTTTGGTGTTGGGTGAAAATCGAGTAAAAACTGGCTGCCTAATCAGTATAGTGGATTGGGTCCCAGTGCCTTCGGCTCTTGGTGAGAGAGCCTTCGGCTGACAATGAATTTGCGAAAACGAAGGGAACTTTCATATGCGGCATAGATAACTTTTCAATTAGAAGTATGTATCACTTAGGTTTTCGTCGGTTTTCTTTGACAGAGTCGGAGTCCGCCAAGCAAGATGATTGCATATATGAAGGTTTTCGTTGGGGTCTTCCTTGCTGGCTTGTGTGTCTGTGCAGCCCGTTCTCAAGGTTAGGTTGGGCTTTGGCAAAATTTTTCGAACACACATGGACCTCCCTCCCGCCTCAGAATCTGGTGCCTTTTCGGGTATTAAGGGGCGACTCTGGAAAAAGAAGTGTTCGTTGTATACTATAATATGTATATACTATATATGTATCAAATACTTTTAAATTGCTACCTTACCTATCAAAACGTTTTTCAAAATTTCGAGACATTCTGGCGGACTGCTGGGCTCTTGTGGAGACAACGCTGCGCTTGTTACAACAACGGCCGGTGCTTGTGGCGGCGGCGGCTTTGCAGCGGGATCGGCAATTAGATTGACAAATTTGAAGACTTCGTAAATTTTCCTTTCCAATAAGAGCTAGTTTTAAACTACAAATATAGACTTAGTTCCTTAATAGAACACACAAACTTAATAAATTACTTACCGTTTGGCCATTTTCACTTTCAACCGTGCATACATACTTTTGCATGTGTATGTTTTCACCACATGTTCTCTAATCTTGTCTCTATCCCTTTCCATGGTAGAAATACCATGCACTAGCTTATTCTAGAGATAAGCAAGCGAGATAACATCTAGAAAGCGCTAGAGAGAGATAGCAAACGTTTTACGTTCTGCACTCTTCGCTTTTATTGTTTCTGCTGACAGCAAAGTAAAGATTTAAAGCGGCATAGCAAAAAATATTTTGCAGACATTTTTGTTTCTAAATAAGATTTAATTAAATGAAGATTCAATTACATACACATTAGAATGCACATCCAAAATAAAATAGTAGTTGCATGCATATTTCATTGTCTTCCGCTTACGTCTTCATTCGTAAACAATGAAGAAAAGGAAGAAGTGAAAAAATCGTGCGCAACACAACCTCTTTCGTCAACGTTCGGCAAACGACAGACAAGCAGGTGTTCCTCGAATGAGAAGCACTGTGGTGAATCCGTCACATATCAGTAATTTCACCATATCCCTTTCTAGCGCTTGTCTTTTTGTGCGTGGTGAACTAATGGTCATCAACAAGGTGGCTTCATGAAATTACGAAGCAGACTTGAAAAGGAAAAACAAAACTTTGTTTTTGCGAGTCGCTTTGAGCTCAATGATCATGAGAGCCAAACGCCATCATTGCCATCAAACTCTCACAGCCGAAGGCTCTTTCACCAATAGCCAAAGGCACTGGGACCCAATCCCCTATACTGATTATGCAGCCAGTTTTAACTCGGTTTGACCACTCTATGAGTTGTGCTTAGGGGTCATAGTCATTTTTTTATGTTACAAAATAGCATAAAATAGTCGAATGCCGCAGGTCTTGAGGTCCTTCATGAATTCAAATCATTTAGGAGATTCTCCCGCTCACGAGGACATGCATCACATCAGTATCGGATAATAAATGGGGAAGTTAAAGAAATTATATCCTTAATCCTTGATATCTTTTGGAAGCTGCCAAGCTTTTCGGCAAATCTTTTGCGGACCGCTTACAATATCGTTTACAATATCGTTTGCGGGCAGCTTATGATATAGTTTGCGGACCGCTTATGATATGGTTTGAGTATATATATAGTTTGTCAACTAGTTCTCAGAGACTATAAGAGCTAGAGCCACCAAATTTTGCATCCAGACTGCTATATGCTCACACTGAAACCAGTGTATTTCAAAAATGAGCCACGCCCCCTTCCGCCCCCGCAAAAGGGCGAAAACTTCCGAAAATCTACAGTTTTGAAGATAAAAGAAAACTAAAACCGCCATTCCGTAGGAAATGGCCATATCTATCAGATCACCAAATTGGGATCCGATCGGATCATTATTATAACCACAATGGAGAAATTAATTTACAGTGGCTAAACCCACCCTGTCCCGCAGCTTTTGTTGCTCTTTTTACATTCTCTCATTCACACTCTGCTTCACTCGGCCCCTGCCTCTGCCCTCCCCCTGGCGTTGACTCTTCCGAGTTTTAACCAAGACTCGGTTTTTAACGCTAGATGGCGCCACTTTCGAAAAATTTTCTGTGAAACCCATAGGTCATTATTGCACAGAATGTGGAGACCATTGGACCATCAAAGTTGCGTACAAGAAATGTTCATAGATGGCGCCACTTTCGAAAAATTTGCTGTGAAACCCATCGTTCCAAGAATGTACCAATTTTATTGCTGTTTTAAATATCTCATAAATTGGAAAATATTAACTGATCCAATTTGTTTGATGCATTTTATTTAGAAGGCTTTTACTACGTGTTCTGTAATGTGAACGATATCTAGTGGTTGGCGATGTCTTCTAAATCTAGATGTAGTCCTGAGTGCCGGGTATAAAAGTTGTGACGCGTAAGAAGCGTCTCCACGTCCCTTCTCGTTTTTTGTGTGAGGGCGCTGCCTCTGTCTCTGCCGCAAGTCAGCAGTATGTGGATCTAGGGAAGGGCGGCGAGCGTGTTGGTGTGAGAAGTGTTGTAGATGTAGATGACAGATGAAGTAAAAATTTAAAATTTGACAAAACACCGCTGAGGTGCAGATGCACTATTGTCCCAATGACCAGTTTTGGTGGCTGTCCAAAAAAGTACCAATTTTATTTATGTTTTAAATATCTCATAAATTGGAAAATACGATTAACTGATCCAATTTTTTTGATGCATTTTATTTAGTAGGCTTTTTACTACGTGTTCTGTAATGTGAATTGTTGGTTGGCGATTTCTTCTACATCTAGATGTAGTCCTGAGTGCCGGGTATAAAAGTTGTGACGCGTAAGAAGCGTCTCACACGTCCCTTCTCGTTTCTTTTCAAGTCGGTTCCGTAGTCTCGTGTGTGTCTCTCTATGAGTTGTGCGCTTAGTGCTATGACTAATGCCAGCCCGAAATTATGCCAAACTTTGCCATAAAAAAAACACCGAAAGTATGCCATGGTTGATGGAATCTTTCAAAAGGATCAAGATATTCTCCACAGTCTTACACAACCTTATTTTCTCCGCTATTTCTTGACAGACTTGGGTGTGCCCTCCCTTCTCGCGTGAGAGACCACTACGATTATATTTTTTAATTTTTTAATGAACTATATATAGGTACAATATATATTTTATGTATATACATATGTAACTTTTTATAATATTCCGTATATGTTACAGCTAAAGAAATACAAAAAAACTATGCTATGGTATTACTAACTGGCATACTTAGACAAGTAACATAGTGTTATGTACAAATATTGATTTCGGTTCATTAATAATGCTAAAACGCACGTTCATATAGTCGTACGCCCAACCTATACAATTTGATTTACTTCCCTTGCTGGAGTTCTACTTTCGTGGATCACTGAATCCGAGTTGAGCCGCGGATGAGTGCCTTCGAAGAGTTTTTAAGAAATGTCTTTATGTACATATGACTACATTAATCTATGAAATAGTGAGTATATATGTGCTAATAAAGACGGGTATGACACGGTTAAGATAGCTAAATTAATTATAATATTGCAGAAATGTTTGGGACTGTTGTATCCAAATATTTCCTATGACAAGAAAGTCCCAGGTGTGAAATTCAAACAATATTCTTGCTAGATATCGATTAGTCGTAGCCATCAGTAGCGAAACAAAACAAACCACACAGGATCTGTCCTCAATGCTTATCACAATCGACTATTATGGATAACAGCGTCTTACATCGGAGTTCTTTGTGGATGTGATTTGTGTTCACAACGTTTTCATACCTGGCAGGAACACTTTGAGGTTTGTTCGCCTCTTTACTATTTAAATTTACAAAAGGCAATACGAAATGAATTTACAAAAGACTAAAAATGACAAACTCATTCAACTTCAATTAATTCTACAATATTCGATAATCATTCGATTTGGAAGCAGACATTAAATCAGATCTTTGTTCCATCAAGTATGTATGTATATAAATGCATTTCTGTATTGGATCTGTTAATTCAAGAGTGCATGCACATTTTTTACAATTTTCAGTTTTCATTCGTGGTTGAGCGTTAGCATTACATTTACAATACAAATACAATTCTTAGAAAAGGAAACGCTTTTGCTTTTCTTTGTCTACACAATACATATAATAATTGCCAAGCAAAAGTTACTGATCCATTTTTCATTTGCATCAAACAAACATACGATACGAGTAATCAATGAGGGGTTTGGCGGCTGCTGGGATATGTTTCATAGCTCTAATTACCATCTAATTACCTATCGTAGATAAATGTTCCATGGAGGTACATGGGGTTACAGCTTAAGTAGTTCGTGCTCTAATTTGAAAGAAATATTGTAGACTTAGGCGTACAATGAAGCAGCTAAAGGTAATTTGCACTAATTTGAAAATGATTTAGTTTTAGATGTGTATTTCTTAACGATGCAATTTCATGATCTCTGTTTATGTTTCTTCTGTATTGTATTGCTTAATGCTTAAATAAATTATATCACAACAATAGAGACAAATTTTGAGGTTCGGAGTGCGTCGGCGTGTGGCAGGGCGTAGTGGCGTAGGCGGCAGAGTGTGGATCAAACAGATGACAAACCATACCACATGGGGCATACAACAATCTACAAAATCTAATCTATTGAACAATCTACAGAGATATTCTCGCAATTATTAAATATTGAAATTTCTCACGCATGCACACAAACACACCCACATACACAATAATGAACAACGAATAGTATATGTGTATAAATAAAATGTAGTATGTATATGTATTAATATGGGGAGAGTCGCCTTCACGGACGCCGCTGCCGCCATGGCCACACACGCGCTGCAGGGTTTCACTGAGATCCAAGACAAATGTTAGGCTTAGCTCTGTCTTAATACTAACTCTTGCTGAGCGCCTTTTTCTTTCTTTGTACTAGGATATCGTAGAACGGATTGTGGCTGATGGACTGCGTTAGCCGCTTTATCCACTCCTGCTGATCCTCCTCCGTAGCGGCTGACATGCGGTACACGGTATGCTTGCCCTCCACCACCTAGTGCGAAAAAGAAAGAAGTTAAAATGAGTATTCCTTCTTGACACTCTTGTATATCCAAAAGCACTCACCTTGCCCTCGGAGTCAGTCTTGCAGGCCTTGATTATATCGGCCCCGCCGCAGGCAAACAGCTCGAAGCAATGCGGTTTGCTGCGATCGTGTATTTCCCGCACCGATATATTCTCCAGCGGGATAATGCCACGCGGCTCCTTGTCCGTGGTGTACTCAAAGTAGTAGAGACAATTGTCGTTCAATATGAACCAGCGCCTCTTCCACGACTTGTATCTGCAAAAATTATCAAAATTAGTATGGATATTTAAAAGGAATTGCCATTGATTCATTTCACCTGCCGCCCTGCTTCCACAGCCAGCCCTCCTTGTCGGGATTGAAGAAGGTGTGCATTAGATCGTTGCCATCGTCTTGGGGTATTTTGAATGGCTCCGTGCGTATGGACTCGTAGAGGGACTCCAAAAGGCCGCGAGGCAAATCGCCGCCGTTGTTGATGCCCCGATTCATCGAGATGAATTGCTCAACGGTGGGTTTGTCTTTGACCTAATGAAAGATGATAGAATCAAGGGCTGACTGTTTTAATTAGTGCGTCATGTGGCTCTTAATTAGCCAGAAATTTGTCTCTCAAAGGTTCCCTGGAATATGCCATGAACTGTCCGTTGATGCTAGTAGTGTAATTTCTCCAACGATCGGACGAACCTGATGGACCCTGTCCATCACGAAGCATGCGGAAGAGAATCGGTGCGTCGCGTCGTCGTCGGTATTTGTGACCTGACAGCCGGCAAATATGAATTCAATTTGAAGATCAAGGGCATCATGGCCAGGGCACGGGCCCGGGCCACTCGTCGTGGCATTGCTTTTTCGCTTTTTATACCCGGTACTCGAAGAGTAAATAGGGTATATTGTATTTGTGCGAATAACGCACAGAAGGAAATGTTTCCGACCCCATAAAGTATCTATATTCTTGATCAGCATCAATAGCCGAGTCTATCTGTCTGTCTATCTGTCCGTCCGTCTTGTTGAGCGCCTGGATCTTAGAGACTATAAAAGCTGGAGCCACCAAATTTTGCATCCAGACTTCGGTTACAAATGTATTTCAAAAATTAGACCCGCCCCCTTCCGCCCCCGCGAAAGGGTGAACATCTATAACGAAAATCTGTAGGGAATGACCATATCAAATCAGATAGGATCATTATTATAGCCAGAATGAAGAAATTAGTTTGCAGTGGCTAAACCCACCCCGTCCCGCATTTTATATTTGTTTTTTGCACATTCTCTCATTCCACTCTGCTTCTGCAGTGTGCGGCCTCTGCCTCTCGCGTTCCTCTGCCGGGACTCTGCAGTGTGTGGCTCTAGGAAAGGGGGGCGAGCTAAAGGAGAGTGTTGGCATGAGAAGTGTTGTAGATGTAGATGACAGATGAAGAAAAAATGTAAAATTTGACAAAAAAAACCGCTAAGGTACAGTTGTAGTACTGAGTACCATGTGTAAAAGTTGTGACGCATAAGAAGCGTCTCACACGTCCCTTCTCGTTTTTTATTTCGGTTTTTGGCATAAGCAAGAACTGACTGCTGCCAACAGTACGAACATCCGGTTGGGAAAAGGCAACCGATCAAACAATGGGAAGTGGGCCAACAAAATTGAGCAGACCAGAATAGTTCTGCGCGGTATTTTTGGATGATTATAGCACTTAATAACCTTTGATGAATGACTTATGAAAAAGGTTTCTGTACCTCAACTACGATCTAAAGGTAGGATCTATGTAAACCACTCCTAATCCTACAAATTGGAAAACATTCTGCCTATTCCCTTTATAGTCCCTCTGTGTAGTACCCACCGATGGATTGTGAAGCGATGTATTAAGCATTATAATGGCGAAACTGAGCACATAGCACGTGTCCGTGTTGGTGAAAATGTCCAGATTTAGCTGGCAATAACGCTGTGCGAAGCACTCCATCATTCGATCGATTTTCTGAGCCTCGCCGGGCAACCGAAATGACCAGAGAAATTGTCTGAAAAAAAGTGGAGAATCTGCCATTAGAAAAAATAGTTCATTTAACAGTGTGGAGGGTGGACTTACCTTAGGGCTTGCACTAGAATTAGATTGGTAAAATCGTGTAGCGCCACAAAGGCCTTGAGGACATCCTCGTTAAAATCGTTCTTTTCTCCGAGGTAATCGCCTGGAAAATAAATGTTGATTATGTGTTTAATTCAATTTTGTGACCAGCCAACCCCTTCCTGAGCAAGCAACTGGGCTGGAGGTAAAGTTATGACTTTTGGGTTTTCCCACTCACCTATGGCCGTTTTATTGAGGCCCTCGCCCTTGTAGAGGAAATGCGCCACATCCTGGGGATCGTGACGCAACAGTCGGTTCTCTACGAGATACTCAATGCCTGCAAATTGAAGGAAAATAAAGCATATAAGATATGGAATATACACTCCAATAGGGTCTTCTGTCTCCCCATAGAAGAGTCCACTGTATTCGTAATCGATAATCGAACACCACCCGAAAGCCCAAGAGCGCAGCAAGAATCAAATCATATAAAGTACCTCCATATACGGATATCTGTGTCTCATTGGAGAGCCAGCGAACCGCAACATAAACCACAGCGCAATCTCCATAAACATCGTGGAACGAGGAAAAAGAGAGACCAGAAGGAGCGCCTCATAAAACTGCCCGGTCGGTCGGTTGGTCGGTTGTTCGGTAACGATGTCATTATTTGCCAATCAAAGAGAGACCCGAGGAACGGAGGAGGAAGCAGCGCCATCGAATAACTCGAGCCTCTATAGAATCACAATGGAATTATTAAATGTAAACGAGAGGGGACGTGTGAGACTCATCTTAGGCGCCACAACTTTTATACCCGGTACTCAGATAGTTCTCAGATACTATAAGAGCTAGACTCACCAAAATTTGCCTCTAGACTGCTGTATGCTCACACTGAAACCAGTGTATTTCAAAAATTAGCCCCGCCCCCTTCCGCCACTTCAAAGAGCGAAAATCTCCCACATCCACAATTTTGAAGATAAAAACAAACTAAAAACGCCATTCTGGAGGAAAGGATACCATACCATACCATACCATACCATATCTATCAGATCAGATTGGATCATTATTATAGCCAGAATAAAGAAATTAATTTGCAGTGGCTAAACCCACCCCGTCCAGCAGTTTTTTTTATATTTTTTGCACATTCTAATTCACTCTGCTTCGTGTAGTTTACGGCTCTAGACGAGGGGAGCGAACTAAGAGAGCGTGTTGGCGTGAGACGTGATAAAGATGTAGTTGACAGATGTAGAAAAAATGTAAAGTGTCAAATGTAAAATTACTGAGTACCGGGTCACACGTCCCTTTTCGTCTTATTCTTATACGGTGGCGTGCATTGTTGAAATTGGATTTGCAGATTGAATTCTGCGATGATGACATTGAAGATGACAACTGAAAAGGAAAACAATAATCATGCAAACAAATGACATCGACAATGAGAAATCTGCAAAATCAAAAGGAGCGGGCGACACAACAGGACTGGAGTGATGGCTGAGCGCAATGTCTGCTTTGGGCCACAATATTCGACATTTTAGTAAACAAAAAGTTTTTGGGGGACTTCAGGAGGCATCACGCACGATTAAAATCGCCGCCCCCCAGGGACCATAGATGATTTAAGAAAATTTAACAAGTATTCTTAATAACAAGTATTCTTAATAAAAAGTATTCTTAACCACTCAAAAACGCTCTATTTGTGGGTTTATCGAATGGAGGGTAAGGTCAGCGCTCTTTTGCACTATCCCACCATTCTGTTGCATGTACCTTGTGCAGGCGCCTTCTCTCGATTCGTACTCCCTATGAACCTCATCCTCTTCTCCAATTCCCTGAAATCATTTGAAATCATTATGGATGTCACATTTGTGGGCTATTATTTTAAGTATCTGTGTGTTGTCTGTGTGTTCCTCTCTATCCAGGGGGTGTGCAAGCTACCTCTCTTTCTTTTTGTGTCTATCTAAATGGCGTATCTAGTTGTGAGTGTATTTCCCCATATAGCTGATAAACGGCCGATAAAGCGACAAATGACGACGACACCACGACTGCCACCTAACCGATCCAGTCACCCACCCAACGCTTCCACCACATATTCTCCGTGCGCAAGCTTTTTAATAAGCCACAAGAAAATGTCTAGTCTCTGGTTGGGATTCGATTTTGCTTTTGTTATTGGACTGACTCCTACTCCTCCGACTGCGAATCCGCATCCCAGCGTCGTCGTCCGTCTTTGGATTAGCATTTTTATTGTGCTCCGACTGACAAGCACTCTAGATAGCTGGCATTCCGTACAGGATATGCCTACTCTCCTCTGCACCTATTCTCATCCCTTTGCTGCTGCTGCGAATGTGTACTGGCAGTGGGAAGATGTTGCATGGCCTAATTTTGACTTTTCGTCGCTAATTTATGGCCAAGAGAGGTTGACGTAAATATTTGATTGGCTTTTAAAAATTTGTGTTCTGCACTAAGCTCTGGGATGTGGTGGGAAGTGGCAGAAGGGAGGCGGTATGAGGGAGGTATGTGGTCCGATATGCCAAAAAAAATTGAGATTTTTGGAGAAGTATCCGATAAGTAAACATGCTGGCATGTGGGTCACCCCCACCATTGTACGCATGTGCAAGGGAAATATATAAAAAGTTTTATCAAAATTTAAGGCAGGATGTGGCCTGACGTTTGGAAACTCCCCAAAAAGAGGCCAGGAGTCCAACAGAAACCCAACGGTTGGGCTACATTACCTCATACAGCTTGAGATCTTAAACCTTTCTCGAGTTCCAAAATACTGGATTACTTCTCTTCTCCAAAGACCTAAAGAGTTACACATTACATATTTAAATTTCCCATTTAGCATTTGATCTTCCCAGCCCTTTTTTTCTAATGAGGAACTACCATAAATGTCTTTGGCCTTCATCTTTTAACCATCCCAAACATCATACATACATATATGATTCTCCATCCCACCCTAATGTACTCCTACCCTATCCCATACCTTCTTTCAACGCAATGATGTCTGAGGGTTCTCCCCTGAGACAAACTCTTGGTACATATTGTGGCATTGACATTCCCATTTCTATTAAACTAAACACTGGCGGCGAGACGAGACACATCCATAAGCGTACGCGTACACGTACTTCAGATGTAGACGAACTGTCAAATTTGTCAGACTTTTAAGATAGTGGAACGCCCTACCGTGACCATCACCTTGCACCCTGACACCCGCATTTACATCTCTCCTTTCCCACTGCTGGCCCTGCTGCATTTTGTTGCTGGTGCTTGAGCTGAATTTAATTTCGTTTCGGGCTCATTACGTTATTAAATTAACGTCGAAATTATTATTGGACGTACGTGTTTCCCCCACACCACACCACACATCTCCTTCCCTTCTTCATCTGCGCGATACACTCTCATGGAGAGTCACCAAGCCGCACCGCACCAAAATCTCCACCTCCATAGCCAATGGCAGTCTGCCCTTATCACTCATCGGCTCAATTATAAAGCATTTCACCTGACTTTGTCATTTTCGCTGTCGTCGAGATTTTATTTAAATTATTTACATTTTTCCCTCTTTCCCTCTCCCTACATTGTCAGGGACTCCGAACTGATTGTAGAGCAGGAACCCTCTTGAATTGTACCAATATTGCATTTGCATGTTGATTCGGCGTGAATCATTGGGGGGTACAGAGAAAAATGCATTCAGAGTTTTAAAGAAATTGCTGGGGTTTGTAAACTATTCACAGAATACTCAGCTAACTCTTAGAAATCGATTGCAGAAACAATCCGATTATCCAATGTAGCAGCTCTAAAGAGTTTTAAGAAAATGTCTCCAATTTTTCATAGTTTAAGCTTTATCTATAAATATATTTATTTACGCTCACCTTTCTTCGGATCCATATTGAACTTTTTTCGCCCAATGGACATTTGTTTGTCCTTGTTGGAATGCTTGCAGTCTTCGGGCACATCGAGAGCCTCCATTTCCGAGACAACTTCGCATAATTCATCTTTGATTTGCTGTAACGAGGAAGAGGGAGAGAAAATCTAATTAAAATGGTGAAAAATGGAATTCATGATATCATCAACATATAAATATAGATTGAGGAAATGGCAAGCCACAACTGCACGCACGCACACACACACATGACAACACATGTAAGATACCCCTGGGGAGGCGCCTACAAGATGGTGGTAAAGAGCATCAACGCCGGAAGCAGAGCCCCAACAGACCCAACTTGTTCCCGCAAGGGCGGCCCATAACAACATTCCCGAGCCCCGAGCACAGCCCGGACGACATCTGCGAGGTCACGGATGAAGAGGTGCTGCGGGCAGGCAGTGACCTGAACCCCAAGAAGGCACCGGGGCCGGACGCGATTCCTAACCGAGCGACGAAGCTGGCACCAGCGCTGATCCCAAGCGAGGTCATGGGTCTGTTCAACAGATGCCTACACGAGGGTACGTTCCCATCGAGGTGGAAGAGGCAACGGCTCCTTTTGGTGTCCAAGCCGGGCAAGCCGCCGGGAGAGGCATCCTCCTACAGGCCCATCTGCCTCCTGGACACGATAGGGAAGGTCTTCGAGAAGGTGATCGCCACGAGGCTGAGTGCATCCATCGAAGCAGCAGGCGGCATATCCCCGGAGCAATACGGGTTCATGAAGGGGAAGTCGACGCTGGACGCCATCTCCAAGGTGGTTAAAACGGCAGAGGAAGCATGCGCTGGTTCCAGATGGAGAGGAGGGTCCAAATCCTACTGTCTCGTGGTGACACTTGACATAAGGAACGCCTTCAACTCGGCAGATTGGAGCCGCACGCTAGAGGCCCTACAGCGGTTCAACATCCCTGGTTACCTACAGAGGAAAGCGCGTAGCTACTTCAGCGACAGGGTGCTGACGTACTAGACCAGTATGGGTTCCAGGGCATACAAAGTCTCAGCCGGAGTCCCTCAGGGCTCCGTTTTGGGACCCCTGCTCTGGAACGCCATGTACGACGGAGTCCTGAGACTACCGATGCCAGCCAACACCAGCATGGTGGGGTTTGCGGATGACGTCGCCATAGTAGTGGTGGCCAAGCACCTCGCCGCAGTGGAGGAGCTCGCCAACGCGGCCGTCCGAGCCGTGGAGCCGTGGAGTCGTGGGTTACGGTCGCCGGATTGGACCTGGCAGCGCAGAAGACCGAGGCGGTGCTTATATCGAGCCGGAAAGCAGATCCTGTACGCCGCGCCCGCGTGGGCGAAAGTCGCTCAGGTGAAGAATTACATGCGAGGTGTGGAGGCGACGTACAGGCTGTGTGCCCTAAAGATAGCGTGCTCGTTCCGGACTGTGTCGGACGAAGCAGCGCTGGTCATCGCGGGGCAAGTCCCACTCAGGGAGCTAATAAGGGAGAGAGCAGAGTTGCATACAGCTGCGCAGGGCGGAAGCGAGACGACAAGAGCCGAGCTGAAGGCTACCGCAAGGAGGAACAGCATCAGCAGATGGCAGACCCAGTGGGACAGTTCACATAAAGGTCGCTGGACTTATTCCCTCATACCGAAGCTGCAAGCCTGGATCGAGAGGAAGCACGGCCAGGTAGACTTTTACCTTACCCAAGCGCTGAGTGGTCATGGCTGCTTTCGCAGCTACCTTAAGCGCTTTGGCCACGAGACGGAGGACTGGTGCCCAGAGTGCGGCACCGGTATAGTGGAGGACGCACAGCACGTCCTCTTCGAATGCCACCGGTTTGACCACGAGCGTCACCGCATGGAGGCAGTAGTAGGCGCCAGGATCTCCCCCGAGACCTTGGTGTCGATTATGCTGACCGAGCCAAGGGCATGGGAAGCGGCCGCAGAGTTCGCCTCGAGCGTTATGCGAACGCTGAGAGCGTTGGAGAGGAGGCGTAAACAGGAGACGAAGTAGAAACCTTCGAGCGTGCGAAGCAATGCTTTGCGGCAGTACCGCGCGCGACGGGCGCCCACTCCCACTAGCAAACACGGCCCTCATTATGAGTAAACCCACCAGTGAAAGAAGAATTAAATCGGAAGAACGTCGTGGA